TCAAAAACAAAACTGTAAGGGTTCAAGAAAAGCTCTCCGTAACTCGTCTGATATCTGGAAAACCTGTATTACAGTATGGTTCTAGAGAGTTTTATGATTGCTCTGGAATGAGATGACGCTCATTTCTCTAAATGCCAATTTGGGGAGAAAATTTCTGATACTAGAGAGCTTTTTAGTATGACAGACTGTGGTATAAGAAGATGGATTTCAAGTTAAACTAGATGAATTCCAGCTTAAAAACACAACACCTCCTTTTAACAATTTGGGAAATTAACAGCTGGACCATTTAGGTTCAATGTAGAACCTTACTTAGGACATTATTCATGGAATGAATGTCGCCTGAAGTGTTTAACGTGAACCTGAGGGGTTGTTTTGTTGTTTGGTTTGGGGTTTTTTATACTTTAGCTCCATCAGATGTTATAAACACAGTGGAATTCTAACGCTTGTGTTATTTGGGTCAAGTCTAGGTGATAACAATATTAAAAAGAGAGGACATAATTTCTATCCACAGAGTGCCACCAAGCTTTCACAGGAGATCTTATTGAATAATAATGTTAAAAGAGGGAGGACAGGGTCCCTGGTCCCTCGCCTTTGTGTATATGCAGATTGGATTAGGAGATTCTAATGAAGGACAAGCAGGCTCCTTTTCCTCTCACTCTAGCTAGTGCTTATCTTTCTGCAGGGTTTTACCTGTCAAAAGCCCAGACATTATCACAGCACAGAAAAGACGTTGGCAGGAGGGGACTCCTAAAAAGTCTCCTGTGCCCAAAGGGTCCCCCGCGGCTCTCGTCAGGTGCCCTGGCAGAGTGAGGCAGTGGATTAGACAAGTTGGACATTGGCTCTCACAGAGCCCAAGGACCACTGGGGAGTCCTCAAATCTCAGAGCCTGCTCCAGACAGAGGAGGAGCCTGGCTGGATCTCCATGACCCAGTTATGGACCATGCACTTCTAAGAATAACTCTCACATCAAGCGAGGAGAATTTTCTTCTCCCATCCCCATAAACATATCCTTTACCCTCATTACATTTTTATTAAGACATTCCTCAGCCCAAGTGCCAAACAAACCTGTAAGAGACTTCAATTTCTTCAGTGTGCACACAGCCAGGAGCATTTGTGTGCTCCCCTATCTCAGACAACGCAGAGCAGACACAAAGAGGAACCCTCTTGATAGGATGGATTCCAGAAGCAGCACAGACCAGAGAAAAGACAGCAGAACAGCAGAAAGGAGCATGGGATGAGAGTCCTAGCTTCTATAACCGTGGGCTGTTCTCTGAGACAAAAAATTGCAGAGAAGCCAATGTGGTCAAACATCCTTTCCCCTCATCCGCTCATTTGATAATAATGATGAGAAAGTTTGCATTTAAAAGGCACAGATGTACCGCATGCCGTGAAAATACAATCCTACCAGCCTTTGTTCAAAGCAGGAACCCCTACACG